AAGGCTGGGTCCTCAGGAGGATGCAGCCCATGAATTTGGACACGACCATGCTGTGGAAGAGAGACAGAGATTAATAACGGATATGATTCAGTAGAGAGGTCTGTTAACACATAGCGAGTGAAGAAGAAACACCCAGTGCATCATGGGAATCCTCCAGAATGGTCTAGTGATGAAGTACCTGTGGTACGTAGTTCAGGAGTAACCTCCCTGTCTGTCTGTCTCTCAGGTGGAGGAGGCTTTGGTCAGGAGGAAGAAGATGGAGTTGCTGCAGCGTTACGCCAGCGAGACTCTTCAGGCTCAGAGTCAGGAGGCCCGAGCTCTACTGGGGCTCTGACCCATCTGTCTGCTGCTGTAAATACAGGCGTGTTTTTTACCTTTTCTTAATAAAAACTTTCTGCTCTTCAGTTTCTTCTCGTCTACTTTTCTTGCTTATAGTGAACCTCAGGTCTGCCCCCTGCTGGACAGTGAAGTGAACATATTTCATTGAGGGGAAAGAAATGTTGACTTTTAAGAGAATATCGGCACCAAACCACAGCAGCAGTCTCCTCCGGGCGCTTTTAACGTAGAGACTCGACAGCAATTTAGTGCAACTGATCTCAAAACTGGGAAAAAGAATCACAAACTTCAAGTTCATTGTGACAGACTGGCGTGCATCCTCTCACCTGTGACAGCTAAAATAGGCTCCACCCCCCATGACCGTGACATGGATAAGCAGAAGAAAATGGCTGGAACATGTTTGTGCAGCTAAATTTGTTTTATTCTTTTGTTTTGTTTTGTTTTTACACGTTTTCATTTCCTTTCCAGCTGGATATCACAAAGGTTTTCCATCGCTATGGTAACGATGCTCTGCTTCTTCTTCTGTGTTGGCCCTCATATTCACACTACCTTTAACCTCAGCAGCAGCAGGGGTCAAAGGTTCATCAGCAGTACCTCGCTGTACTGTCAACACTGAGGTTACTGCAGTACTTCAGTCTGTGTCATCATGTGGCTTCAATCTGCCTGTTGATTGGTGGCAGCATTCTGCAGCATGTGGCTGATTAATGACCTGACGCTTCATGTGATGTCATGTGAGGAG